TATATATATATCTTTCTCTTGTGGAGTGACTGGTGGTTTCGATTTGCTGACCTTGCAGTTAGTAGTCGAACATGTAACCACTAAAGATAACAGGTAGAATTAATGAAATGGAAATCTTTTTTTTAAAACCCAGTAGACTTAATAAATGAAAGAGCTGGCTACTTGAAAACTAAATTTTAAAATAGACAAATGTTTGGTAAGTGTGATGAAAGAAATAACAAGTAGACAGCACTGAAAAGGAATGGGTAGTATAACCATAAATAAGATCATTAAGTAAGCGCATAGCACATAAAGGTACACCAAAACTCACTACCATCAAGTCAATGCTGACGCATAGGCACCCTCTGTGGGTTTCTGAGAATGTAACTCTTTATTGAAGTAAAAAGAAAGCCCAGTCTTTCTCCAGAGGAGCTGCTGGTGGTTTTGAACAGTCGACCATGTGGATTACAGCCTGACTACTACACTGCCAAGGCTCCCAGCACATAAAGGTACCATTGCTTAATCATTGCATGAGTTCCATAAACGTGATACCAAATACATCTAGATGAAATGGATAATTCTCTAGAAAAATATAAATGAGCAAAATTAACTAAGGAGAAAATTTGAACAAAAAGAACTGAAAATATAATCTATGCTCCACAATAGTTTATAGCATATAAAAATTATCTGTCACTTGAAGGTTTTAGAAAATGAGCCTATTAAGCCATCTGGAATGGATGTCTTTTTAGTGAGAGTGTAGCTCTTTGATTATATTTTGATTATATTTTCAGTTCTTTTTGTTCAAATTTTCTCCTTAGTTAATTTTGCTCATTTATATTTTTCTAGAGAATTATCCATTTCATCTAGATGTATTTGGTATCACGTTTATGGAACTCATGCAATGATTAAGCAATGGTACCTTTATGTGCTGCGAGCCTTGGCAGTGTAGTAGTCAGGCTGTAATCCACATGAAAATTTCTACTCCCATAAAAAGTTACAGTCTTGGAAACCCACGTGGACATTTCTACCCTGTCCTATAGGGTCACTATGATTTGGAATCCACTCAATAGAAGTGCCAAGATAATGACCGTGCCATTAGTGCTTATTTTCCCTGGAGTAGTATAAAATTGCATATTTTCTAAACTTCTTGGATTACAACTTTCAGCATAGAGGGTTGTACATCTTCCAATTCTTTTTGAACTGTTGTTTGTAGTTGTTATTAGGTGTCATCAAGTCAGTTCCAACCCGTAGCTACCTCATGCACAGCGAAACACTGCCCTGTCCGGTGCCATCCGCACGAGCCTATTGCTGCAGCCACTGTGTCAATCTGTCTCAGTGAGGGCCTTCCTCTTTTTTGATGCCCCTCCACTTTACTAAGGGACTTGTGTCTCCTGACAATATGTGCAAACTCTGTAAGATGAAATCTTATCATCCTTGCCTCTAAGGAGCACAATGGCCATATTTCTTCCAAGACCAATTTGTTTGTTCTTTTAGCAGTCCATGGTACTTTCAATATTGTTCTCCAGCACCACAATTCAAATGCATCAGTTCTTCTTCAGTCTTCTTTATTCAGTGTCTACCTTTCACATGCATATGACGCAACGGAGAATACCATGGCTTGGGTCAGGTGCACCTTAGTCCTCAAAGAGACATCTTTAATCTACAATACTC